CCACATCGAGGACCATGGGCTAACTCTAAGTTAGTTATAGGAAGCAAGAGAGACTGTTAGGTTTAGGTTTAGGTTTAGACGTAGATAGTATGTAGTCTGTGGGTTTAGATTAGGTTAGTTAGGTCAATTTAGATTAAGTTATATACGATGACGTATTTTAAGTTACATAGAGTGTTAGACACTCTAACGTTGTTAGATTTAAGGACTCGTAGATAAGTAGCAGTAGGAAGTTTTTAAACTTAACTGAAAATAAATATGTTCAAATAGTAATAGCGGTAGAACGACGTACTTGAATAGGATGATCGAAATTTGGGTCAGCTTTTGTACATGAAAATCTTCCCTTTAAAACGACGGGCGGTGCCCTTAGAACGGTCCTCAATGGCTCGGCATGATATCCTACCGCCAGAGACAAGTACATTTGAACAGACAGTACTTGTCTCTGCTACCGCTACTGTATATGTCAACCTTTATCTGCACGGCCTCTATGCCCCCTTAGGTGGTCGTTTAGAATTTATTAGTTTCGTTATTTACTTACGTCTTACATTTGTTGGATTTTATCAGAAATTCTTAACATTTAAACAGACTGAAGTAAAAATAAGAAAACGCAAAAGAACGTTGCACATATCTCCGAAACAAAAAAGAAATGGAATAATAATAAATCCTATAAGTCGTTTTGAAAGCCTTCTTGTTCTCAACCTTTACGCACCCATATTATATTTACCGCACTTATTTATGAGACACTCTATTTATTATACAGGGTGCCTCATATACGGAAACATCTGATTTCTTTTGAGTAGATGCAATAATTTTTTTTAGATTTTTTTGTGTCGTTTTTATTTCTTTTGTAAAATCTTGTAGCATTCATTGTTTTCGCACAAAAATATTATTTCTGTTTTGTTTCCAATTACTAATTTTCAAAATTAAGTAATTTACATTAAAAATTTAAAAAAATTAAATTAAGTTTTTGGTATATCGGTAAAGTACTCAGTTCAGATGGATTTTAACGCCACTTGCTACGGTTTTGCTCCCACGTGAGGGCCATATGTTATTAAAAACTCGATTTTTACGTCAGATTAGGACGATCTTTGAGATTTCGACTTTGACCATGTCGGTCAGTTAATAATTATGATAAAATGCTTGACAATTAATTTATTATAAAATAATATTATCGCTTACTATAACATTTGCAGTTAATATCTGAAATTGTTAAATACCAGGCAAGCAGAAATTGTTTTTTTGCGCTAAAGCTACGAGATTTTACACTGGAAACTGGACTGGAAAAATATTTAAAAAAGACTAATCATGTTATGCTTCTGAATTTTTGAACTAAAGAGACGGAGGAAACGTGAAAAAAAAATCGTTTGCTTGGAAACATGTGAATATCTTCGAGGTTCTGTTCTGTGGTTATTTTCTGAAAAATCTTCGGCCATTCTTTTAAAGTTTTTATACAGTGTAAGCCACCCCTGCTGGGCAGATCTGCAGTGTTGGGTTCACAATCAAATATTGAAGAAATAAGTAAAAATCGACAAAATGTACATTATTTTCTGTGTGATCGGCGGAGATTTTGAGGTAGACTGGGGACCGATTTTCAGTGGAAAACAACGGCCAGTTTTTAGAAATGTGCGTTTATCCCGAAGGTGTTTGCAAACAATGAAATTTGTTTAGTTAGCAAATGGTTGTTTTGTTACTTACAATATTGCCTGTCAATAAGTCACAAGTAATTGGTGATAAGAACTTTTATCAGAAAAGTGATATTGATAATTTCCAGAATGATTTTCTAACTAATTCAGCAATAATTTTTAGAAATTTATTAAATATCTCAAAAACAAGATAACATGTGAAAAATTAACAAGAAGCGAAAACTCGATCGAGGTTGTCAAGATCCAACCTGAATTTTACGAAACCCTGTATATACGAAGAACAAACTGCAGTAATTTAGCCACAAAAGTTATAACTAGTATGGTCAATAATCCGTTACATTTTTACTGAAAAATCCATGTTAAATAAGATTTTTCAAGGACGCATTTAGCGGCGGGTTTCAAAATTCATTGAACTCGGAATCAATGACCGCACCCATACTGTTGTCCTTCTCTTGCTGTACGTTCGGTTTCAAGTGCCAACATACGTGCAACAGCCAATCAGCGCCGTTTGTTAGCCTAGTGCTTCTACCATGGGGGCCTCAGTCAAATAATCCAGGTCAGACATAGATTTTGATTGTCGTCAGCGCCACCTAGGCCCTGCTTACAAGGCAACTTACTCATAAATGAACGGAACATCTCCGAGGCGGCACCATAGCGACGTTTACAGGGTGAGTGCTGATTTCAAAGATGCTGATTTGCATTTTTCGCGAGGCGTCTTTTTCGGCATCAGGGAAAGGCGTTGTTTATTGCACAAGTTTTTTACTTTCTCCGACCAATAATTTATTAAAACATGAGTTTTAGACCTTGTTGAGTGCCTATCAGTGCGATGATATTTGTTCTAAACGGTAAGCTTTCGCATTACTAGAATTATTTACATGTTGATTGCTGGAGGACGCCAACATGGTGCATGGTATCATACATTTTTCGTATTTAAATTATAACACAATATTTTCACGTGTTCAGTTCCTAGAAGACTCGTATGTCTTGTTTTAAAGATTACTACATACATTATTCACTCTACATACTACATATATTTCGAAGGTTTCCAAGGTGCTGCTTCCATAGAGAATAGCTTCCTGGCAAAAGACGCTTGGTGCAACCCATAGTCAAACTGTGCGATATTCCTGGACCATCGCTCGAATATGTTCATGGCACATCAAATATCGCCACAGTTCCGGGTAAGTACTAATTGTAAGGAAGTGAGATGTAAATTTAGCAAACTATCAATTTTTAGGCTCCATTAACATTCTTTTCAGGGAGAGCAGCTCAAATCACACAGCATCAGCACCTGAATTGTGTACTCCGAAAAAATTAAAGGTACGTTTGTATTAAAATGAAAGTACTTTAATAATTTGTATTTATGTGCATAGATGATATTCTGGACAGCCCTTTTACAGCTGTCAC